CCGGCTGGTGAGGGGGCCCCGCTGGAGGCGCCGTCGGAGGCAAAAAAATCGGAGCAATTTCGCTTCACTTCCCATCAAATTTACCCGAAAACAGGCCTCCGAAACCTGCCGTCAGTGTACAGCCAACTGCCTGAATACACAACAGGTAGTGGGTAATAGTCTATCTAAATCTAAATCGAAAAATGAAAATCATATTCATCAGTTGATTATTCCACACTGCTGCTTCAAGAAAGCTCAGCTGTATCGCACGCCGCAATAAAAAAAGCAAGCTTGTTTGTCGCAGAAGAGCAAAGCTGTCACAACAACGAGAAATAAATGGCACAATAATGAGAGATGAACGGGTAGCTGCCGCTACTTCGTTGAATGCGCGCATTTCACTGGGTGCAGCTGCTTTGTGCTGTGTGCTGTGCAGCTGTGGGGGTTCCGTGTGGAACATCAGGGGTTCCGTGGAATATTTATCGATTAATCTTATCGATATCGAAATATGGAAATATCGAAGTATCGAAAAGTTCAAATGTTTTCAATATCCGATATCGATACGATAAATCGATACGATATATCGAAAGAATCGATACGGTATCCAACACTATCACCCACACTTATTTAATCCTACGGGTTCGCTGTTCGTTTTCCCCACTGATCGAATACGGAGCGATAATGGGCAACACAAGAGTTTCGTAAGTGGGTGACAGGTTCGTTACCCAAACCTTGCTTTTGCTCGCCCACCTCTGCCGGCAATGTACGGATGTGAACACGCAGGTCGTGGACTATTGCGAAAGCTCGTACCTGGAGCCGGGTGCCAACAAGAGAGAGGTACAAGTCTTTCCGTGCAAGGATAGAAGTATGCATACAGTCGTTCCTTATGTACCTACCCCCTCCTCGTCAACGACTAATACTTGGGTTGGGTTATGTTCGATAGGGGGCACCGTGCCTGTGAACGACCGGGGGGTAGGAAGGCAAGAGCGCCCAACATGGAGCCGTATTCGCGCACGCGCGGTAGCGATGCAGGCGCCCGGCGGATGCGTGGGTGGGGGCTTCCGCACCGTCCGTTGCGGTCGGTGTACGACGGAGACGTGATACACAGCAGCAGCACACGGAAGGTCGTCGCAACCGCGGCTAGTGTGCCAGTGAGGCAGTACGTTCGAAACCCGGAGTATGTTGAAACCCAAACCAGTATGTGCTATTGACAACAAGTCTCGGGAGATCTTATACTCGTCGGTAAGACGACAAGGTATCGTCACTACCACTGTGCCAGGGTCCCGGGATAATCCCGGGAGAAGAGGCACGCGGTTGCAGCAAACTCCCAAGTCTGGGTTTCCTGGATGCCGACGAGTATTAGACTACCCTAAACTTGTTGTATTCGCATGAGTGGAATTGTGTGGAAAATGTGGGCGTGAGCGCGTCGGCTATTGATACCAATCAGACCATACTGAGGCGCTGACGTGGTCGGAGTGGAATGTGTGCAGGGGGAGTGGGGTAGCGGGCACTCCGCGAGCCGAAATACTTGCGCTTGCGACGTCGCATGCAAATCGCTTTGGTTTTGCCGTGGTCGCCTTGCAATTTTTTTCGCAGGTATGGTTGAGAACGGAGGAGTACCTCAAGGACGCCCTCGGATCGGTTGTGACCGATATCGAGGAAATGGCCATAAATCTCTTGACCTTCGTCAACGCACAGGTGAAGCACATGTCGTGTAGATATGAAAAGGTTCGCGTTCCATCGTGGAGCTGTAGTATTAGGCTTGGTTTTTGGCGACGGGTAGTAGACTTGGTTTTTTGGCAACGGGGGTGTCGTGACCTATGCTTGTCGAACGTGGACTTTGGATCCGTCTCGTCATGAGTAGTTAGTGTCCTACCTCGGTAGAGTACAAGACACCGGCGGTCGAGGTTTGGGAAGAGAGGCTCGATAAGAGTCAGATTTAGTGTGCGCAGCAGTAATCGAGCTGCCT